AACTCTACTTCACTGCTGTGTCTCTGCCCTTCAGTTCTTCGCTGCGGCGGTGACAAAAACCGAGGAGAATACACACGCCCTCCCGACGGGAGCCCCAGCTCCCGGGGGTGGGGGGGCCGGTGTGCGACGGAGACGCGGGAGAGCGGGGAGAGAGAGGGGCGCGAGCGTGGGAACAGAGAGCTTGGAGCGCGTGCAAGGGGGGCCTGCGGGAGGGACCCGGGCTCTGTAAGAAACACTTAAGCAAAGTCAGTCACATTAATTCTCTATAAAGTAATATAAGCATTCTTCTGTGAGAGACTAAAACTAAAACTAAAGAGATTAAAACTAAAAAGCCAGGAGTAACTTGGCCTGGAATGTTTGAACATCCCCCAGATAAGAAAATACCTGAGCATAGCCCAGATCTTCATTGTGTCAATTAAATGAGGCTATTGTAAAATTCACTTTAGCCTGCTAAAAGGCCCAGCTTATTTTCTTTAACTTTACCCACATGCTGCTTTTCTTCCCCTAGCCCTAATCAAATGATTTGCATGCTAGGCAAGTACTAACGGCAAGCGAACCCAGTCACAAACAACATAGTAAAAACAGGAAAGATTCCATCCCAAAGATAAGATTGCATTTTAAAACCCAAGAAGTCAAAAAATAGGTTTCTTAACATAGTAGACAACAAGTCAGCTCACCTTGGGAGCAGGACAGGCAGTCTTGACTGATATACTCCCAAACCAAGAAGCTGTTATTCTGGAAAAGAATCAGAGCAGTAAATTTATTGTGTTAACTCTGCAAAATAATCTGGAAGACGACAAGAAATTGTCTCTTCAAAGATAATCATTTGGGGACCATTTAGCCACTTTGCATCCCTACCCTTTGTCTCTCAACCGCCTACAAATCCCCTGGACAACGCACCACCCACGGCTATCTTGTCCCCTGCGGCCAGGTGCAAATCAAGAGCTCTGTCCTCTAGCTTTATCTCTAAATAAAAGCCTCCCACTTGCTCTCCTACCTTGAGTGTTTGCAAAGTTCATTCTTGGACTCCGTGAACAAGAACACCGGCATCAGCTTCTCTGAGGAGCCCGAAGACACGGAGTCCCCAGAGCCCTGTGCCTGGGCCCAGAGCAGCACACCTGGTGCCAGAGGGCCCTGCCACCTCCCCAGCACACATCGGGTGGGACAGGTGCATTGCAGCCCACAGGGTGGCCAGGCAGCCGTGTGAGCCTGGTGTTCCAGCAGCAGCAGTCCAGGGCGTGGCATGCTCTGGGCACCTGCACACACCGGGGCAGGATGGACTGCTGGCCCAGTGACCACCCAGCAGGCCCAGGGCTGCTGCTTTGTTTTGAGCCCAGCAGTTCATGTGTCTCAGGTTGAGGCTGTGGGCTGTGCAGGGAGACAGGACTGACCTAGGTCACCACCCCGCCACAGGCCCGTCTGCCCTCCTCCTGCCCAAACCTACCTCCCTATGTGGCCGGGGAGCCTGAGGTCATCCCTGGGACCACCATGCAGGCAAATGGCTCTGAGGGTACTGTGGGCAGGGCAAGGGAAAGGAAGGTGGCCAGATGTCCTGATTTTACCTCCTGTCACCCGGTCACCTGAGGCTGTCAGGGGGGCCCATGTCCGCTTCCCTATTCCCAGTCTGGGGCCCCACCTGCAGCATAAGACCTGGAGACTTGTCTCCAGCCTGGGGCACCCAAGGGGGTGTTCGTGCTGATCCTGAAACTCCCCTCCAGGCCAGGCCTCCTCTCCTGGGAGGGTGAACACATCCTGAGAGCCCCGGGGGAGCATTATGGGGAGACCAGAGCCCAGTGCCTCTGCTCAGCCTCCCGAGCCTTTTGTCACAGATGTCAGGCCGCTCAGCCAGGACCCAGGAGCGGGACACCAGGGGCCTCACACCAATCTGGCCTGGGGATGGACAGCTGAGGGGCACCATGGGGGAGGACTGGGGACCTGGGAGCTTTGGGGGGTGCTCTGAGGTGTGAAGTGTGGAGAAATTGGGCTCACAGAAAGCCACCCAGTGGAAGGCATGCACCTCTTGGAGGTGCTTTGAGAGACCAAGTTCAGCATTGTTTGAAAAGGACTTTTCTGCAATGTGTGGAGCGGCTCTGTCTCATTAAATGGGACAGTGCTAGGCTGGTGCCCTGCAGCCGAGGGATCTACTTGGGTACATCTGCAGTGGTGTTCAAGAGACACCCTGGGGCTTCTAATCAGCAAGTTTCTATGTCTGATCACAATCTATAGGTGACAGGAAATAAGGTTTAGTTTCTGTTTGAACAGCCCTCCACAGTGTTGCCAAGGTGTGCCAGCCTGGGGCTTAAAGCGCCCTGCTCTTCCTGAGCGCCTTATGGGGAGAGGACAGAGGATGGACAACAACCTGGCGTAGGTCAGGGCCCCCCTGCGTCAGAGAGTTTAAGGGCTGGGGGTGGGGTGGGCTGGGGCACACGATGTCTGCAGGAGGGGCAGAGCTTTGAGAAGAAAGAGCAGTGTGGTGGCAATCCGTTCATCATTTATTACATTCTGCACAGGGATGACCCCAACCCCCAGGAACCATAAACCTCAGACACAACACCCAGACCACACTGCACCTGGGGAGGCTATTTTCAGGGATGGGGGAGGGAGTTGTACAGGGGGCTCCCCTGGAAGCAAGCTCCGGAACCCTGAGACAGCCGGCCACTCCTGCATCCTCAGATGCCTCCACTGGGAACCAGGGGGCTGTGGTCCCATGCAGCACTGCGCCGTGTCCATGGCCATCCCAGGAAAGGCCCCCGCCTCTTCCTGGAACCCTGTGGCTACGATTCAGTAGCTGACAGCGCCCAGGCAGGAGTTGGCGTCACGGCGGGAGGCCACCTGCACGAAGAGGAACATCCTCCGCACGGTGGGGCGGCTCGCCTCTGTCCAGTGGGCCACGGGAGCAGAGGGGACGACACAGCACGAAGGGGGCCAGGTTGGCCGCAGCTATGTACGGGTCCTTGAGGATACAGCGGCAGCCTGGGGAGCTGCCCGGGTCTGCCGACAGAGGAGGTGCCAGAGCACCTGCCCCAGGAGAGGCTCAGGATGAGCAGCGGGAGGAAGAGGAGCAGCAAGCAGACTGGGGTCCTGGGGCGCCAGGTGCCGCCTGCCCGAAGGGGAAGAAGCTCTCCTCCACATGCAGCCAGGACACCAGCAGGGCCGAGGGCCCGATGACAGCAGCTACAGGGCCATGCGGGTGAGCAGAAGAGGCAGGTTATCCCGGGTTCCCCCCATTATCCTGCTTCCACCCCGTCCCCACTGCCCTCTGGGCTCCGGGCCCTGTGTGGAGGGTCCTGTCAATCACCAGCACCCGGGGGGGTCCCTGTCACAGGAAGGCTCCTGAGCGTCACCTACTCACAGAGGAGGAGGCTGGGTCCCAGAGGGGGAGGGGAACCACCCTTCAGTCTGACAGGACTGGTCGGCCGTGGAGCTGGGACCCCAGCCCCACCGGTCTTTAGGACGCCCCCACACCCAGCATGGCCCGAAGCTTCCCTGAGGCTGAGGAGCAGCCCACCCCCTGCCGATCGCCCCAGCCCAGAAACTCACCTGGCCCTGGCCGGCCCGTAAGTTTACATCTTGTGGGGCCTGAAGAACTGCAACAGTCCCTTTCTGCTGGCCCCCTGGCCTGGGGGCTCCAGCTGGCAGGACAGGCTGTAGCTGCAGGACAGAGGGACACCTGTGAGCCCCTGGAGCCACACGTCAGGGGGCCCGTCCCCCAGAGCCTGCCAGCAGCTGCAGCCCACACCTGACTCCGGCCGGCCTCACCTCTCCTCCTCATCCAGGGGCTCCATGGCCTGGAGAAATGACATGACGTGCTCCTTGCGCTCCAGGTCATACAGCCTGGCCACGTACTTATATATCATCATCTCATGTAGGATGACAGTGACCTGGGGCAGAGGAAGGACAGGATGCAGACAAGAGGGGGTGAGGAGTGGGGCACTGGGATGGTCCCGGATCTTTGCTCACACGGGAACCCGCCTTCCCTCCAATGCCATCCAGCCCTGCCTGTTCCCACTGTTGGGTCTCCAGCTCCTCCTCCAGGAAGGAGGCCTTGATGCCACCCCCCACCTGACAAAACCTTTAGTATCCTCAGCTCTGTGTGTCTTAACTCTCTCCAGACACGTTAGACCCAGGGGATGGGCCAGACAGGGTCCTGCCCAGGGGGTCTTGACTCCATCCCTCACCTTCCGTGACTGGGCACTCAACTGTCTCTCTCTCATCCCGTCACCCTGGAAGGCAGGAAGGCAACCAAAGTGCATCAGAAACAGCCCCCTGAGCCCAGAACGAGGCCGGCACATCCCTACCCCTTCTCAAGTTGGAGGACCTCCAGGGCCCTCCAAGGGGCAGGCCTGCCCAGAAACAGCACCCGGACCTGGCCCGGGATCGGGGCTACCGAGAAGCGGGGACTGCACTGGGGAGCTGAGGCCAAGCTTCCCACGCAACTGTGTGATGGCAGACAGGGAGACTGGGGCCTCAGGCAGGAAGGCACTGCCAGCCCCCTGATGTGCTTCCTGCCCTGAAGGAGCAGCATCCCTCCCCCTGGGCAGGGCCTGAGGGGGAGACCAGTCCTGCCCAGATGCTGCCCCCTGGAGCCCTCAGCCCCACCTGCCCTGGGGCCAGGACTGGGGCTTAGGTGGGTACTTCTGGCAGTCCTCTCCAAGAAGCCCAGCTCCTGGGGTGGAGGGGGAACTGAGGAGGCGGGGAGGCCCAGTGCTGAGAGGTCCAGGCTCACTGGGGGGCTCTCTCCTCTCTAAATCTCACCATCCTGCCCCCCTGTTCCCTGCTGGGTCACTCACGTCGTTATTTTCCGGGAGTTGGTCGACGGGCACGTCATGTAGAAACAATCCAAGGAATGGGACCATGCCCTGTGCCACCGGGGTGGGGAGGTGATGAGTCCCCACCTGCCTCAGGGGCACCCACAGAGCCTCCCCTGAACCCCACACCCACAGCCCCCAGCTCCCTTGGACCACCCTGTGCTGCCTCCCCACCTCCCTTCACCCTGCTCTCCCCTCCCGGGGACTCCCAGGGCTGGCTTTTGGCCAATCCCAGGACCTGTGGGCCCTGCACCTGTCCTCCACCTTCCCCCTGTACCCAGCTGCTCTCGCCCTCCTCCTGGTCACCCCAGTGCTGGCAGTTCAGGGCTGGTGGCACCAGGGGCAGGTACAGGGTCGCCCCCACCGCCCGTGACCCGCGCCACGCCACTCTCACCTGCTTCTTTGTATACTGGCATCCCCTGCGGGCGCACAGCTTTTGCTTCATGAGGGCCCTCACCTCCTGCAAGGACCAGGACACTCAGCTGCTCATGCTTCCCTCCCACGTGGCCTCCCACAACCAGACCGTGGTGGATGGATGCCTTGCCTGAGCCCCCTGGCACCCATGCTGTCCCCACCTCCAGCAGGCTCTCAGCCTAGAGCGACCCCAGCTCCAGCACACACTCATACTCCTGGGGGTCCTTGGGCCACGGCCGCCACCCTGAGAGTGTCAGGGGAGGTCCCTCTGCCTCCCAGGGTGCCCTGAGGACTCACTGTCACCTGGCTATCAGCATGGCTCCCCTCACATGGCCAGGTGAGGTGGCCCATCTTGTGTTCCCTGGACCCTGCTCACCAGGGAGGCCCACACCCCAGGGTGACGGCAACCCTCCATGTCCACATGAGGAGCCCGAGGCCACAGAGGGGCAGTGACAGGCTCAGGGGACCCAGGGGAGAAGCCGACCTTGCTCAGCCACAGGCCCCACCCCTGCTGCCGACCCCACGCCAGCCCCAGCCCTGACTGGGGCCTGTCCTCTGGGTCCTCACTGGATGCCAGGCCCCCAGTCAAGTGGAGCCAGGGAGGGAGACAGACGAGGCCCTCGGGGGCCTGGGGGACCCTACTTTCCCCGTCAGCTTCCCCCTCCCACCCCGCACACCTCGAGTCTGCCCCAAAGCTGTGCCACAGCACGGCAGAGGACTTGCCCCGAGGACCCCCCCTTCCAGACCTCTGGCCTCCGTTTACCTCGAGGAGCCACTCTCTGTTAGCCTCCTCATCCCTCTTTTTAAGTTTTTTGTAGGTCCGGGAGCTCTTCCTAAGGGGAGGGGAGAGGAGGAGGGAGAAACATGGCCAGCAGGTGGAGAGTTTGGGGGCAGACCCCTTTTCCTGGGGCACCCAGGAGATCCACTAGCCTGCATGAGGCTTTCCACCACAGCTCTGGGCCCTGGGGAATCCGTGGCCTGGGGAGGGCGTTGCATGTTTCCACCCAGGGCCTCCATTCCCAGTTCTCCCAGGGGCGAATCTGCTTTGGGCCAGGTCACTGCAGAACACAAGCTCAAGATCTCCAATGGGCTTCAACCCATACCTGACATTGCAGGAAACTGATTCCTGCAGGGGTACCCTTGGCCTAACCCACAGGGGGCCCCAAGAGCCCACCATCCCTGCCCCTAGGCTCTGCCGCCTCCCAGGAATTCCCAGCCCACTGAGGGACACTGCAAGATGTAGGGTGTCCCTGTCCACTCAGGTGCCCTGGTCCCAGGGACAGGACTACCCACCAGGAAACTCGTCCCCAGGTGCTCTCCAGACGACCTATGGGACGGCTCTGCAGGGCCAAGAGAATGGCATGGAGGGCAGCGAAATTCTTGAGGGCCAGACACTCCTGGGAGGGAAGACAGAGCTGAGAGCCTGGCCTGCTTCTGTGCTCTGTCCTCCCGTGAATTCCTGTCCTTAAGGAGACAGACACCCAGGGAGCCCAGCACACCTGGTACCTGCTGGGCAGCCCTCCTGGGTGGAGGACTGTAGCTGTCCCACCCCCGGGGCCTACGAGTCATTGTCCTCATGCCCCTGGCATGAGGGTCTCAGGGACCATGCAGGGAAGACTGCAGACAAACATCCTGAGAGCTGGCAAAGGAGGGACCCCAGGGGCCATCCCATGACACACCTCAGCCACCCGGATCCAGAACTGCACCACTTGGGCCCTGTTCTGGGCCGTCATGGTCACGGTCCCAAGGCAGGAGGAGATGACCAAGCTAACCATGCCATCGAATTGCCTGATGACCATTTCCACGTTGGGGCCCACTAGCTCAGTGCCTTCCATCATTGGTGGCCTCTCTAAGTAGACCTTGCATTGGCCGTATTCAATCCTGCTGTACAGCTCCTGGGGATGACAAGGGGTGTCATCCAGCTGTGCCCCTGGTGCCCCTGTTCCCAGGCAGGGTCACCAGTCAGAGCTGGGGCACAGGCAGCTGGGGACGTGCTGTGAGCCTTGTGGCCATCCAGGCTTCAGACCACATCCACTGAGGCGCCCAGGACCAGATGCACAGGACCCCACAGTGGTGGGGAACGGAGGGGCTCTGCTCGCAGGCACCCTCACTCACCTCCTCTCTGAAGCACAAGGCAGCTCACACCTGCCCATCCTGGGGCATCTGCCTCCCATTCTGCCACCCCGTGGATCCCGCTCCCCACTCAGGTGCAGTTTCCCCCAAAACACCTCCACCCGGGACTTTTTTTGGTGTCTGTGTCCCCCACGCCGTCAGGTGCATGGCAGGGGCCTCTGAACTGCGGAGGCTGCGGAGGCCTTCCAGGCCAATGGCCGGAGGACCTAAGGCCCTGGCAGCACCTCCCTGAGCACCCCTCCCCTGTCCTGCCCCTCCCAGCCCAGCCAGGCTCTGCCCACCTTCCCTCTGCTCCTCCTCATTGGTCTGCAAGGATCCCTCAGTGCCAGCCCTACTGTCCCCCCCACTGTGGTCAGGGATGGTTTGGGAGTGAGGAGAGTCTCTCAGGGCACATGGTGAGTCCGTGGGGAAGCTGGGACATGGGCCCAGATCACAGGAGTCCACGCCAGGGGACAGTAGGTCTGGGGCAGCCCGTGACACAGGGCAGGCCCACCCCGACCCTGAGAGCCCGCTCCGCTCACCGCACAGATCAGGGTCAGCTGCTCGGCCACCATGTGGGCGGGGAACTGCAGGATGGTCCGCTCCTCCGACCTCGGCACGTCCGGGGTGATTGCGACACAGGCGCTGGTGGGCTCTAGGTCCGCCTCTGGCTCTGCCAGGCCCTGCGCCATTCCTGCAGGTGCCACGGGCCCCGGGCCCAAGGGCTCATGGGGCTCCAGCTCGGGGCCTGGCACCGGGGCTGAGACCACTCCTGGGATGTCCCAGGGGCTCATGGGGTCTGGACATGTCTCTGGCTCTGCAAGGCCTGGTACCATTATGGCAGTTGCTCCGGGCCCCATGCCTGAGGGCTCCTGGGGCTCCAGCTTGGGGCCTTGCCTTGGAGCTGAGGCCTCTGCTGGGATGTCCTCCTGCTCTGCAGGGGCTGAAGCAGGTGACACCGGCCGTAGCTCCCGCACAGGGGTCTCAGGGAGTTCCTGAACGGGCTCTACCCACGAAGCCGGCCCTCCCTGTGTCTCTGGAGCCAGCTGCCTCTGCCGTGGTTCTGGAGCAGGACACAGAGAAAGGGTCACCCCGGGGCTGATTCCCCACACCTTACAATGACAGAAGAGCCCTCACTGCCTTGAAGGGAACCCCAGTCCGGGAAGCCCACCCTAGACGGTCCCCTGGCTGCAGCCCCTCACCTTCCAGCTCTGCCACCGTGGGCCCCAGGTGCTCCTCCTGGACCAAGTGGTGGAGGACTTGGCCCTCCAGGGTGGAGGAAGGCTGGCTGGCATCGATGACGCTGGGCACATGCTCGGGCTCCCAGGCAAGGTGTCTAGCCTGTCCCATCCTGGGACTGGGGGAAGGCCGGAGGGTGGCAGAGTGAGAAGCCTCGTCTTCCCAATCACACTGGCCTCCTGGTCCACCCTTGTGTGGGCCTGGCCGTTGTGCACTCCCCTGCCTGTCCAGGCACCTGCCCCTCCCCCTTCCTGACCCTGTGTATCTGTCCTGGGACCCCATCCTCTCCCATCCTCCCAAAGAGGAAGTCCCCAGTCCTCAGCCCGCCCATGGGAACCGAAGATGAGTGACCTGCTGGGTTCTGCTGGGCTTCCCCCTGCCCCAAGCCCCAAACTCCTCCTCCCCCCATTCTGTGAGAGGGGCAGCGCCCCCTCTGAACCCAGTGAATGCTCACATTTTCAGTTCCTCCTCTGGCCCCTCGTCATGCCCCTTGTTGCTTGAAGAGGCCTTGAGGGCATCGCTTGTGACACTCCCTGGCCGTGACCTGCGGATGATGCCTGAAGTGACTGCCCAAGTCCACCCGGGATGGGGTCCCAGTATTGTGTCTGCTTCCTTCACTCAGTTATGTTAAGTGTCCCCAAAGGGTCTGCACAAAGTGGGCACTGCGTAGCTATTGTTGCTTAAGGAAGTCCTGCCAGAACCTTCCCAGGTACCCCTCTGCTGCCCCCAGAGGTCCCTCGTGGGGCCACTGTGAGGTCAAGGACCAGGCCCAGTCCCAGGGAATTGCGGGCCTCCGTTCCAAAGTCTCATTTCCAAATGAGCCAGGCTTCAGGCCACTGACGGGTGAGGCCAAAGACTTTTCATCGGGTACAGAGAAGTAAGCCCCGAAGTGGCCCAGCTTGGCCGGCAGTCCTCTCTGCAGTGCTGGGGGCCAGGGGAGCCCCACTAAGGTGCCTCCCGTGTTCCCCATGGGCACCCTAACAGGCTGATCGCCAGCCACCCTGCCTGTCAGAGGAGCACGCTGCGGCTCAGACACATGTGGGGACAAGCAAGACACACAGCGGGGCTGTGGGCAGAGGCCCGACTGTGCCGAGGAAGGGGTGGGTGCTCAGCATACCTTGCAGGGAGTAGGGACTGTCCCTGCTTCTCCTTCACAGCTGCCAGCTGGTCCGCGTCCTCGGGAGGGAGTACGGCCTCGGAAGTGCTCCGGCTGGTATTTGGAGCTGGATCCACTAGTATGGAGAGCTTTCTCCCCTTCCTCCTCACTCCTGTCCCGGGATCCCTGCACGTGGGGACCTCAGTCCCATGGAGAGTTGGCTCAGGTTCACGCTGAGAGGGGCAGCAGGGATATAGTCAGTGGGAAACCCAGGACCCGCCAGGACAAGGGAGGTTTGCAGCTCACCCGAGAAACCTCAGCCCCATGGGGTGCCCCTGGGAACAAGGTTCCAAGCCCCCTGGAGTGGGACTGTCAGCTACTCTCATGGGAAAGCCCTGGGAGGGCCCTGGCAGGTTGCCATGTTTGGAACGGGGTCCTGGGGTGTAGACAGCCTGCCCCAGGTCCAGGGAGATGGAGTAGGTAAATCCATCCACCAGCTCCTCCATGCTCCCCAGTGTGGGGCTCTGCAAAGCCAGCACCTGCTAGCTGGGGAGGAGGCACCCCAGTGTGGGCCTCCAACCCTGCCCCCGAAATCAGGCACACAGGGCTGGCCTTCTGCGTAGACATCCAGTCACTCAGGGAAGGAAAGGACACCCCCAGGCTCAGGATTGACATGTGGGTGGAAGTACCTGGTCCCAACACGCACCTCCACATCCTGAATGATGAGACCAGAGCTGTGACACTGACTGCCCCCTGCTCCCCAGCCTGCAGTGCCACCCATGCCCCACGCCCACCACACACACACAGGAAGGGTCGGGGGGACAGTCAGCCCGGGATGGGTCACACTCATGGTCTGGCCCTGGAGTGGCCCGCTCTGGGCTGCCCTGTCTTACCTTGGAGGTCCTCGGGAGACATGGACAGAGGCGTTGGAGGTGGTCTCTGAGCCAACGCCCACAGGCAGCAAGAGGACACTCTCTCTCGGCTTCCCTGACTTCCACGCCTTCAGAAGGCTCCGCACAACAAGACCGCATGTTGCTCTGTCGAGCGCCTCCGGTCAAGTGAGCTGGACTGGGGTCTGCGACCAGGATCTGGGTTCTGTCCAGGTCACAATTCAGGTTCTACTGGGTGTGTCATCAGTGACATCACTTCTTCAAGGGTCCATTTCCTGGGCCCCTCCCTGCATTCAGACACTGCCACATGCCCACCCTCCTGGCCCTTGCCATGCACAACTACACAAATCTCCACCATAGCCCTCCCTTCACTCTGTGGCATTGTCACCTGGGTCCCAGCTCTGAGCAGAAGAGCTTATTTTCTCTCCTGTGTGACACAGTGATTTTCTCTCCTGTGTGTGTGTGTGTGTGTGTGTGTGGTCTTTCCTTGAGGCTGAGCCTATCTGCAATGGATGTGTTTCTAATGGTTAATGTACTTTAAATGCTGGATGTATTCAGTTACTCCCATGCCGCCTCCATATTCTTTGATGACGCTTTCATTTAGATGTAAGGTCAAAACCGTTTTTGCAAATGGTAATAAAATAAGGCTCGAGAACGACAATGAATAATAATCTGTCTCATTGTAAAATAAATGAAAATCGTTACCAGACTTGCAAATCTCTTATACTTGACAAATTAACAATCTGAAGTAAGCATTACAAGCGTTTTATACATATTTTGAACATAAAAACTATAAAGACCAGTCTCTTTTCCTTTTGTGATTAGAAGCTGGAAAATCTGCTTATAACTGGTTCTGTTACTCGAGTTGCAGACTTGCTAGAAGTGTCAGATGAACTAATTTTCTCCTTCATGTTCTGTTCATTTCTCATCTTCACATCTGAGAACAGATATATCCTTCACATTTCCAGAGTCAACAAGCATTAGATTCAGCTTGAATTGCTGCCATGTATATGTTCCCCGCAGATCTGGAGGAGCAGCTCCCAGCTGGGACACTGTTAAGCAGAGCAGGCCCGAGGGTTGCAAGTGTCACAGAGGAGCTGGGGAGCCGTCACGTCAGACTGCGCCAGCCCTACGGCTCCTGAGTCTCCCATCCGTACCGTCACTGTGGCCAGGGGGAGGTTTGTAGCCTGTCTTCACCCTCTTTCGGAGATCCCCTGCTGGGCCAAAAGGACAACCTCAGAAGAGAAGTTATGCATAACTGATCGTGGTGAAAATTACACTTTTGATTTAGCATCAGAAGGTGGAAGAAGATGCTGAGTGGGATTTCTCTTGTCCTAAACTGGTATTGAGGCTCACAGCTTAGGGCAAGGTGCAAAGTTCGTGCATTCCAGAGACCACCGCCACAGGTGGGCTCCTAGCACCTCCTTGTGGGGTCGGCCACGACCCGGGGGACCTGCTGTCCCCTCACCCACAGCCCAGCCCCCCTCGTCTGTCCTGGGCGGGGAACTAATCTGCTGCGGGAAGATGCTTGTCAGTCATTGGCAAACTTGCGGGGGACCGGGGGTGGGGCAGGGCTCGCAGCAGGGGGCCCACTGCTCCCTTTCACACTACTTCTGGGTGATCAGAAGATTGGAGGGGTGCTTTAGCTCTCTCCCCGCGAGCCGCCACCCCGTACCCGCCACGGAGAAGCTGCCGTCCCGGCGGAGCTGTGCATGATAAGAGGGTCTCGGGAGATCTTTGCGCTCTCGGGACGTAACCGCGGCTGCCTGATCTGCAGCGATCTCTGAAGGTGGGGAGACTCGGTGAGCTGGTGTGAAGGGCAGGCAGCAGGCTCTCAGCGGCCCCCGGGCTCCACATGAAGGAGAGTACCGGTTAGAGGAAGGGGCGGCGTCCCGGGGCTGCAAGGAGCCAGGGCAGGGGCCCCTCACCGGGCGCAGGCCACGGCTGACCTTGTCGGAGGGGCTGCTCCAGGGCCGGGCCGGGGCGAGCCCGCGCGCGCTCCCCTGGGGAATCCCGCGCCCGTCTCTGAGGGGTCCTCACCCAGCAGAGCCCAGCAGCAGGAGATGGACCCAGGGCACTGCCCGTTTAAGTCAAGCCTACCTGTCTACCAGCCTCCGGCCCTGTTGGGAGCCACACAAAGACAACAAGATGGCCACAGTTCATGAGGTTCCTGCTTCACTTCTTGGAGATTAGCTACGAGCCCGCGCGCGCCAACAAGGAAGCCCGCGCGCGCCAAGAGATACTCTTCTCCCCCTCCTTCCCTATTGTCATATACCAATCAGAATGTAACTCGCTGCGCCACCCCTGCTATGCAGCCAATCCCCTGCCTCCAAGTATCCTATGGCCCACTCTGCCCCTGAACACTGGTGTATATCTACCCCCGTCCTACAATAAAATTTGAAGGCTTGATCAGAATACTGTCTTGCCTTCGCTCTTCTCTCGCCCCCATTTTCTTTCAGGTCGGATCCCCCTCGTCCCCACGAATAACTAAGTCCCGCTGGACGGGACACCCAAGAATGGACTAACAGTTACCAAAGGGAAAGGGACTGGGGAGGAGGGGTGGGAAGGGAAGGATAAGGGTGGGGAAGAAGAAAGGGGGCATTGCAATTAACATGTATAATGTGGAGGGGGGCACAGGGAGGGCTGTACAACAGAGAGAAGACAAGTAGTGATTCTACAGCATCTTACTATGCTGATGGACAGTGACTATAATGGGGATTGTGGGGGCGACTTGGTGAAGGGGGGAGCCTAGTAAACATAATGTTCTGCATGTAATTATAGATTAAATGATAACAAAATTTTAAAAAACTTAAATGCTTTCCTTACTTAATAAGAACTTTTCAAGGAATGGAACCTGGCCACGTTCTTCTATGGCATGCTTTTCAGCCTTCTAGACTTATCTCTAGGGCTTCAGTTGTATGGAGACTCAGTATCCTGAGGGCACTGAGGATGTCTACATTTATTCCTTCAGCAAATATATTTGAGCACCTATTGCATAACCAGTACTCTTCTAAGCACTGGGTATAGCACAGAGACAAACAAGAAAGTCTGAATCTAGCTCCTCTTGGAACCTGTATTTTAGTGGTGGAGACCAACAATAAACAAGAAAACAAACTAATATAATGTTTCCAAACAAACTAATATAATCTTTCATACTATAAAGAATATGAAGAATATAAATAAATGGGAAAAAGAAGAGCTGCTTAGATGGTCAGTTTGATAAACCCTATCTGAAGAGGGACATTTAAGCTGAGACCAAAGGATGCAAGAGAACTGTGTGATGAGGCCTGAGGGGAAGAATGTTCTAGAAAAAGAGATTAGTTTGTGGTGTGTAATAGCAGCTTCAGGGAGAGATGTGCAGCAGCAGTGAGGAGAGCTGGGGAAAGAGGCTCATGGAGGTTGGAGAGGGGCCGGGGTTAGAGCCCAAAGGCCACTGCAGGGGCCACATTTCTGGATTTTATTCCAAAACCAATAGCAAACCATTAAAGGAAAGCAATCACAGGTGTGATGTGATTTGATTTCTGTGTCAAGAGAATCACTCACAGATCCATGGGGAAAATGAGTTGGAGGGGACGAGAACAAAAACAGAGAAGCAGTTATGGAGCTGTCGTGTGCTCAGTTGGCCTGTGTTTAGGCAGCAGGAGAATATGGAGAAAGCAAAGAGAACTGAAATATTTCAGTTACACTGAACAGGAGTCACTGAGAAATTAGATGGTGGAGGAAATAGCATGTGAAAAAGGAAAAGAATTAAGATTTGTCCATTTCTGTGTCCCCAGCCCTTAGCATGCTGCCCAGCACACAGCAAATGCCTGACAAAACATTTAGAATGGCTTTGACTTTTCCCCGTGAAAACTAGGTCTCCCAAACTCATGGTCAGGTAAAGAACAGAGGCGTATAGGAAATAAGTGAATGAAAGGAAAGTCTAGAGGATGAATAAAGGAAGACAACAGAGATGAAGATTTCCTTTTGGTGAAGCTAGTAATGACTTTACTGTCAGCAGATCAAGGTTAAAGTCTTCCTTTATGTCTCTCTCTCCAGGCAGCTTTTCCATAAATGTCGAAGGATGTCCCAGGCCAGCAGAGGCAGAATTGAATATTGCATAGTGAATAAGGGATGGGACTGTATATTGAAAGAACATTTTTAAAGTTATCTTGTGATTTAGGCAATAATTTTTCATCATTTCCTTGGCTGGCTTTGAAGAGAGAGCTTGATAATAAAGAAAAGACTATGAAAGCATACAGTCTGAAAATGAGAGAACCAAGCGATTCTGTCCTGGTACATTGATTCAGATGTGAGAAAGGGCATTTGTTAGTACTCTGTTTTAGCTCTGATATCACATACAAGCCTAGACACACTCCTTTTCAACAAGACTATTAAAAAAGTCCTGAGATAGACAACATAATCCTTGTGAAGATTTTAAATAGGGAGCACGAATATTCCCACACTTCAGACTGGCGAAGTCAGAAAAAAATAGGGTCATACATATTAAATACTAATAAAGTGATTGCAGACGCCCATACTTTAATTGACACCCATGGTTTAAGTCAGTACCTTTTAGAAATTCTGACATTCTCGAAAGGGTTTTCAGGCATGCAGCTCCGTCCCCAGCCTTTCTTCCAAGATGCAATTTACGGGCCATTTTTAAAATCCTGCTGGCTCCTCATATACTTCCAGGTGATGCCTTCAGACTTCCCACAAGTGAACTTTGCTAATACCATTTGGAGTCTAAAAATGGTGTTCACGAATTCAGTCTTGCCCAGTCTCCTCCAGTGGCAGGACTTAGTGTCTTGTACATGATTGATGAGTAGGCTTTGCTGTGGGATGAGCCACATCATACACATCTCACTGCCTCTCAGTTAGAACAGTGATGCTCATGGCTTATGTTTATTCTCTGTCTCTAACTGTAGCTCCTTCACCACCCTGTCAGCCAAATGTTATCTGAAATATTGACAACCTTAAAAAAATGTTTATTAAGGGATGATTCGGCTCTTGCAGGGCTGAAAGGAAATAACAGTGGTTTTTAAAGGGAAAGAAAAGATAATTCTAAAGGACTGGCAAATGGCATCAGTGAATACTGATTTAGAGGCTAAAAGGTCTTGGGGAGGGTGTCTCAAACCAGGTGTCTAAATTGCTGTTCTCTTTACAGTCAGCTCTAAAACTAGAATCTTCTTCAGAGATGCACTGACTTCATAGATCAGGATAGTGTGGAAGTAATTTCCTTGGTGGGATACATAAAAGGTCACCCACCTTTACTTGTGCCAAGATTTCTAAAATTGCACTGAGCATTACCTTACTATGCGACTGCCCTCTCTCCTCCAGACTGACGTGGTAGGACTGAAGATTTATATAGCCCGTTCATTTTGTGGGCAGTTCATAGAGATGTTGTATTTCCTTTTAGTCTTTTCTGGCCCCCTACTCTGTCCTCAGGTCGAATCACTGGCTCCTTCCTGCAGATCACCCGGCACCTGTACTTGCTTTCCTCGCCTCCTACATACCACTCTGCACTACACTTAACTGTATTCTATGCTATATTTTCCTCACTAGTCTCCTGAGAGAAGGGACTATGATTTATTTATATTTTTATCTGCAAACGCTTGATGTAGGTACTATTTTGGTATCCCACCCAAATAGAAGGATCAGGAAAGAGTCTCCACTGTATTAAACACTGTTAAATCCTGCTCCCTCGGGGCCATGTAAAGTAGGAATTCAGAAAGCAAAAAGAGCCATTGAAACACATCCATCCTTCACTTGTTCCAGATCAAGAGGAACATGGAAAGTTTTATGGAACCACACATAACACGCAACAGTTTTACCAACCTCACATTGTCCCAGCAGTGAAGCAAAAAATAGAAACGTAGGTCCTGAGACCCCTACATGCTTAGTTTCGGGCATTCTGCTTCTGTCTTAGGAGAGAACCACTCTTGAAATTCTGTAAAGTCAGGGCCCCTCACTGTTACTGAACCCTCAAATCTGGGTTTGCATGCCTGATGTTCAGTAAGCCAATCTCTGAGTCACTGAGTTTGAAGCAGAGAAAGTGTTAATATTAGAAGAGCAGGCCCAACTAGAAGGCAAGGGAACTTTCCCAAATCTGCCAAGTTTGGTCAGCAGCAAAGCAGGCCCCCCTTTTTTTTTTTTGAGAGGGCATCTCTCGTATTTATTGATCAAATGGTTGTTAACAGTTAACAACAATAAAATTTTGTACAGGGGACTCAATGCACAATCATCAAACCACCCCAAGCCTAATTCTCATCAGTCTCCGATCTTCTGAAGCACAACGAACAAGTTCTTACATGGTGAACAAATTCAAAGCAGGCCCTTTTTATTTTATTATTTTATTATTATTATTATTATTATTTTATTTTGGTATCATGAATCTACAATTACAGAAAGAACATTATGTTTACTAGGTTACCCCCTTCAAGTCCCCCCCACATACCCCTTCACAGTCATTGTCCATCTGTGTAGTAAGATGCTATAAAATCACTACGTGTCTTCTCTGTGTTACACAGCCCTCCCCGTGTCCCCCACACACTATACATACTAATTGTAATGCCCTCTTTCTTTTTCCCCGCTCTTATCTCTCCCTTCCCTCACATCCTCCCCAGTCCCTTTCCCTTTGGTAACTATTAGTCCATTCTTGGGTTCTGTGGTTCTGCTGCTGTTTTGTTCTTTCAGTTTTCCTTTGTTCTTATACTCCACATATGAGGGAAATCATTTGGTACTTGTCCTTCTCCACCTGGCTTATTTCACTGAGCACAATACTAGCTCCATCCATGTTGTTGAGAATGGTAGGATCAGTTTTTTTCTTTTAATTTTATTTTGGTATCATTAATCTACAATTACATGAAGGACATTATGTTTACTAGGCTCCCCCCTTCACCAAGTCCCCCCCCACATCCCCGTTCACCGTCACTGTCCATCAACATAGTAGGATGATGTAAAATCAATACTTGTCTTCTCTGTGTTGTACAGCCCTCCCTGTGCCCCCCCCACACACACTATACATGTTAATCGTAATGCCCCCTTTCTTTTTTTCCCGCCCTTATCCCTCCCTTCCCACCCGTCCTCCCCAGTCCCTTTCCCTTTGGTAACTGTTA